TTTCCTGTATGTTGCTTGATGGAATGTTTTTTTCTGTCAGAAGCTCACGTGTAGGTGAATTGGATCAGTAATTCTGACCTTCAATGGTCAATATGTATCAGAAAAAGTAACATTAAGTTTTTAATAGTGCTTCTTTTGAGAACTAATTTTATACTAGTTCCCATTTTCAGATATTATGTCTTTAATATCAGGGAGATTTTGAGACTGCTCTCTGACAATGTAGTCAGAGAGTCGTCTTAGGAACAACTGTCAGTTCCAAGTCACTTCTTATTTTTTAGTTATATGTGTACTTACCACCTGGTTTGAGAAATAAAACATTACAGAAACAATTGCATTTTCCTACAGCTCTCTTCTGATCCCATAACTCTGCCACCCCGGAACCACTATTCTGATTTTCATGCTTATCTTATGCATGTTTTCCTACTTGTCTTATGTATGTTTAGATTTTTAATATATAATATTTATTAATTTACATTATTCAAATTGTACAGATGTTGTCTTTCAGTTATTTTGTATTCATTCAGATGTTTGCTCATTCTGATGTTTGAAGAATGTCTAAGTCAGCAGATGTTCTAGTTAAGTTCTTTTAGCTTCTGTATAGTATGTGCTGCATATATCCATCCGTTATCTCTCCATAATGGACCTTAGATTGTTTCCACTATTTTTATATAGCAGGCAATGTTGCAAAATGTTCTTGTATGTATTTTCCTGAGCACAATTTTATAAGAATCTTTCTAGAGAGTAAAGGAAAAGTCTTCTTTATGGTGGAATCCCAAATAATAAATGTGGAAGGATTGGAGAAAATGACATTTTAAAAGACACATAGTAGCAGTTCATTCAGGCAGGAGTTATCAATAGATGATGGTAATGTCATGGGTGAAAGTTTGAATATCTAAAGTTTGATATCCTAAATATCTACTGGGAACAGAATATTTACATGGTCTCAGAGTATATTCCTTTTGTGAATGCTTACCGATTGTAACTACTTCCTAATCATAGGAAAATGCCAGTTTTACATGGAGAATCCTGGAAGCATCACCTTAAACTAAGAGATCAGATTTACACATTACCAATCATGGGACCAACCAATATCATGTGCCTCCCGATGTGATGTACCAAGAAGGACACAATATCACTTACATGCATCCACTCATGAAGAAATGTTAGATAAAGCCAAATTAAGAGATATTCTGCAAATATATGGTTTGCACTTAAAAAGTCAATATCTTAAAAGACAAAGGAAGGCTGAGGAACTTTTTCATGTTTGAGGAAACTGAAAAGACTTGATGTATAAACATAAGGTCTGATCCTGGGTTGAGCCCTGGGCCAGGAAAAAAATTGCTTTCTATTATTGGGACATTTGTCAACATTGGAATAAGGTCTATAGATTAGACCACTAATATATTGCCTTAATGTCAGCCTCCTTGATTTTGGTAATTGTGGAGTAGTTAAATAAGTGAATGTCTGTGTTTGAAGGAAACATATCTGAAATATTTGGGGGTAAAGGGCATGATGTCTACAATGTATTCCAAGTGGTTCAGAAAAAAATACTCTTTCATAGACATAGATATAGAAGAATAAAACAAATGTAGCAGAATATTGGCAGTTAGCAAATCTACATGAAGTGACCTATTGTTTCACCTTTTCTATATATTAGAAATTATTAGAAAAACATCTTTCTGAATTATACCTGGGAATAGAATTGTTGGGATCTGAAGTCTTTGAATTCAGTAGACAGCACCGAATTGTTTTCCAGCATACCTGTGCTAATTACATCCCTAAGTTCTGTGTCTTCACCAACACTTGATAGTTGAAATTTTGATCAATCTTATGGATATAAAGTAGCATTTCATTGCGGTTTTAGTTTGCATTTCTCTGATTATGGCAAGTGTGAACATCTTTTCAAATGCTTAGTCATTAAGGCTGCTCTTTTCTGAATTACTTGCCATTTTCTTAGCCATTTTTTAATAGTATTCTTTGATATTTTCCTGTTTTTTGTGTGTCTAAATATTCTTGGAATTAATGCTTTGTTAACTCTATGCATTGCTTTTATCCATGTACTTTTGAAACATGCTTAACCAAAATAAAAAATTGAGTTATACTTGGAGTCATTCAGAATTCAGTAGGTAAGGGGGCAGAGAACGTATTACACATCAAGTATGTAGGGGCGGAGGGCTGGCTTCTGTTTGCAGATCTCTTTTTTCTCATCTCTGTTTGATATGGGGCAACTTGAGCTTGCATCCTTATCTCTGGCCCTTCTAAAAAAGATTTTAAGAAGGGCTGTCTGTTGTCCCTAGTGTATTTCCTTTAGAGATGTACTGAAGAATTTACTCTTCCCTATTGCTCTAGACATAAAAAAATCTGAAATCTGTGTATTGCTAAATAATGAAACTCTTGCACTGCTAAATGTTGGCCAGCGCTTGGATTGAGTAAGCTTCCCTGAGTGGTGTTGCAGGACCTGCAGAGATAATCCACAGGGACGTTATCTTGGTTCATCTTCTAACACTAATTAAGCCAGTTATGGAAGATGGTGAAGAAAGGTTAAATCTCATAGACTTGACTTCTGAAAAAGATAACCTAATGATTATTTAAGAACTTATTTTAGGGGTGGCGTTCCTAGCTTAGTGGGTAGGGCGCTGGCCACATATACCAAGGCTGGTGGGTTTGAACCAGGCCCAGGGCCTATTAAAACAATGACAATTGCAACAACAAAAACACCAACAAAATAGCTGGGTGTTGTGGCAGGCACCAGTAGTCCCAGCTGCTCTGGAGGCTGAGATAAGAGAATCACTTAAGCCCAAGAGTTTGAGGTTGCTGTGAGCTGTGATGCTATGGCACTCTACCGAGGGTGACAGCTTGAGATTCTGTCTCAAACAAACAAACAAGAAAACCAAACTTATTTTAGCACTCTTAATTCTTATGGTATTTAGATATTAGCTTTGGATGTGGGGCAAAAATAAGCAATCTTGTCCTCACCAAACCCCCCCAAACTTAAAATCACAAATTGTTAGCTTATTTATTTATTTATTTAGAGAGAGGGTTTGGCGCTGTTGTTCAGACTGGAGTGCAGCAGTGAGATTATAGCTCATTACTGCCTGGAATTCCTGGGTTCAGGAATCCTTCCCGGCATGTATCACTGTGCCTGGCTAGTTAAAATTTTTTTTTTGTATAGATGGGTGGGGACGGGGGAATGTCTCAGTATTGCCTAGGTTGGTCTTGAACTCCTGGCCTCAGGTGATCTTCCTACCTCAGCCTCGCAAAGTGCTGGGGTTACAGACCTGAGCCACCATACCCAGCCAGTCTCTCCGTTTATAAAAGACACCAGTCATGGAGTTGGTGGTTATCCTCAACAGAACTTGACTTTCCACTCCAGATTCTCTTTCCTTTCCCCTCCAGTATATTATTATTTCTTGAAAAAGCCAAAACCCCTGAAATATTACAGCTCATTCTACTGATGCACAGAAAAGTTCTCCATGGATAGACAGCACGAAGGACAGCACAACACTCACCACTTTCTTCCCTGATTTCCTAGTAAGCTAAAAAGTGAGGAGGTCAAGGGATCCTCTTTCAGGGAATTTAGTGTCTTCATCTCTACCTCAAAAGAAACAATTTTTTGTCATTTAATGTTATTAGTAAATTCCTTTGTGACACACCCCAAAGGAACAGATGGATGGTCACGTGACTGTGCATTTAGCTACTCCTTATTCTTTGAAGATTTTCTCATTTATTATTCATATCTAAATGGCAAGAACTGGGTGGCAGTAGTCTTTTTTCTTTTCTTTTTGCAGTTTTTGGCTGGGGCTGGGTTTGAACTGCCACCTCCGGCATATGGGGCCGGAGCCCTACTCCTTTGAGCCACAGGCGCCACCCATCTTTTTTCTTTAAATATAAAAGTATAAGTTTATTGTATATTAGAGGGAAGAGGCGAGTGAAGAGATGAAAAAGAGAGAAGGGAGCAGAGAGCAGGGAGTGAGAGGGGAAGATCGTCATTTTTTAATTTATAAAAATTATGCTGCTTTAAAAGTCTTTGAGTTATTTTCTTTATGGAAAATATAATAACAGTATAATGAGGGAAATATAATCCTGTTACCCAGAGACAATTACTTGATGTTTTCTTCTTGGTATTTTTACTATATGGATGCACTTCATAAAGTTAAACTGTAGCTTTAGATTTTGTCTTTTCTTGCTTGATGTTAGAGTATTTACAGGGGATGCATCAGATATTGTCATCCGGATCAATTATAATGAAGAATGCTGCAGCGACCACCCTTGCATACATTTCTAATTATTTTCTTATGTTAGATTTCTAGTTAGAATTATTGATTATCAGCAAAACTACATTTGGTCTTTTCATGTCAAACTGATTTTGACAAAGTTGCCTCTAGGTCCACACTTGTACAGGTTGGCTATGAGAGTACCTCTGCCATTTCCGTCATTACACAAAAACATTGCCTGTTTGTTAATGTTACTGGGCTAATCGTTGTCTAATTTATAACTTATTACTAGGGAAAAAGTTTTAACTTATGTTGCGTCTATGTACTTTGCTTACTTTTCTGAAGGAACCTGCATTTTTCTTATTAGTTTTTATATATTGAAAAATCAATTTATGCCATTGTGCGTGATTAATTTTTTTTTTAAATCAGGGAGATCAGAATCTGTTTTTACACAGTGTATTAAAAAATCCCCAATCTATACTTGGGAAGAGGTCATTTCTGTGAGTTCTTTTCCTAATGGGACGTAGGGAGGAAATCCAAGCAAAAGAGTTACAAAGGACCCAAGTTCCTCAGTAATGATGGAAACCTTTGGGTGGAGTGGTGTCACGCAGACAGGGGTTTCTTCTCCCTTCCCGCTGCCTCTGTTGATCTCTCCCCTGAAATCTGCCTCGTGTTACCTGTTAAACTTGCTTGTCTCATGTGTTCCGCACAGTTAAAGTTGCCCCTTTGGTCACTGTCCCTCTGTCCTCTATGGAATTTTCTCATGTTGTGATGCTTTCTTTTAAGGTATTATCCAAAGAGATGAGTCACCCATGGAAAAAGGGCTGTCTGGTCTGCGAGGAAGGGACTTTGAGCTGTCTGACGTGTTTTATTTCTCCAAGAAGGGATTGGAAGCCATTGTGGAAGATGAAGTGACCCAGAGGTTTTCCTCAGAGGAGCTGGTGTCATGGAATCTCCTCACAAGAACCAATATAAATTTCCACTACATCAGTCTAAGGCTCACTATGGTGTGGGTGCTGGGCGTCATAGTGCGCTACTGTGTCCTACTGCCTCTGAGGTAAGTCCCGGCCCGTAACTCGACCAGGTCATCAGCTCAACTTTCTTTTTTAATCGTGCGTAAAGGCCACATGGGAGCACTGTGGTCCTGATTCCGCGTTTTCCCATTTAGGGAACGCCACCAAGCATGACCTCTGCAGGAATGTATTAAGTATCTATTCTCCTTTCACATCTTTTCCTTAATAAAGAGGTGTGTTCAGAATCCAAAACATGTCTTATAATCTGGATCCACTTTGCTACTGCAGTCATAGATAATTTGAGGATGGATAGACAGGGAAGTTAGAAAAAGAAGGCAGAGAGATGATTAACAGTTTCCCCTTCACCCCGTGTCAGCCAGACTACAGTGGCTGACCAGAACGCACTGTCCCCCTTTGCTGGTCTGTAACAATTCTTAGCTGCATAGGAGGGAGAAAATTCCTGAGAGTGATGCCACGTGGAGAGAGCTATTCAGAAGTGCATCTGTTCCGTCTGACTTCATTGTGATCGCCGGCTTCTCATCCTATTAGTTCCTCGCCTGTGTCTCCTTCCTCTGAGCTGGAGTGCCGCCTGATGAGGAAGCCATTTGAAGCCCAGTTTCGTGGAAGCACAGTGTGGCCCTTGAGTAGAAGACACTGGGCTGTGGGATGAACCCGGCTGAGATCAGTCTAGCGTGGTGGTGGTGGTAGCAGACATGGGGACCAGCCGCGACATCATTGTTGGTTGTCTCCCTGGACATGGCCTTGGTGTCCTCTCCACGGAGCTCTCCAGGCACTTGCTACCAGACAAACAAAATTGGCACATGAGTTGAAACCTCTTAACTGTCCCAAGGGTGTCCTTTCCTTTCCTCATCCAGATTTATTACAAGGGAAAGCATTGCTTAAGTATAGGCAAATGCACATTTCCAAGAAGTTCTTTTGCTCATGTTCTCAGTCCAGATACTGGGGCATGGTATGTCTTTTGGGGATTATTTCACTTGTGATTAACAAAGCAAAAGACAAGGTTTCACATACACTTTTCCTTAGACTTTATCTACTGTTCCCAAAGTGGGGTTCATGCACTCTGGGAATGCACAAGACTATTCACCACTGTGCAGGAAGGAAATGTTAGAGCTTCTATTTGTTAAACACTTATATCCTGTTCATAATTAGAACATCCATTTATTCTGTTTTTATTTTTGAAAAGAAACGAAACTTTAGTAAATATGTGGATCGGTTCTTGCATCCTCACCTGGCCATGGATCAGACACTGTATCCAAGGTAACTTGAGGGGAGAGTGAGGATTACTCTGAGGGTGACACAGAGTGCTATTGGTTAGCTTTCACCATGTTGTCCAGAAAATAGGGGTTATGATACCATCGTCTAGTTTTAACTAAATTAATAATGCTCACAAAATAGATAAGTGGCATAAAAGATTTTTGCAAAGACACCACAAATTGTGGATAATCTAGTAACATAAGCATCCACTGCTTCTTAGCCTTTTGGCTAAGATTAAGTATGGTAATGCATCTAAGAACAAAAAGAAATTTAAAAAGTTAAGACTTGTATTCTTAGTGCATATTAAGAGTATGAAACAGGCTTGGCACCCATAGCTTAGTGATTAGGACTCTGGCCACATACACCAGTGCTGGTGGGTTTGAACCTGGCCTGGGCCTGCTAAACAATAATGACAACTGCAACAAAAAAATAGCTGGGCATGTGGGCAGGTGCCTATAGTCCCAGCTACTTGGGAGGCTAAGGCAAGAGAATTTCTTAAGCTCAATGAGCTGTGATGCCACAGTACTCTATTGAGGGCAACATAGTGAAACTCTGTCTCAAAAAAACAAAACAAAAGAAAATTTAAAAAATAATAATATGAAGCAATTTTCTGTCCTGTTAATGTAGTAAATAAAAAATTTTGATAGTTTTGAACCAAATCCTTAAACATGTTCAAATGCCACCCCCTCTGATTTAGTATGTAGGAACCAGTGATTCTTATTAGGACAAGATGGAGAACTGTTCATTGACTCTCACTGGATAAAAGATTTAAAATTAAGACATGAAACAAGAAAAATTTTAGAAGAGAGTGTGGGGAAAATATTTGACAAAATTGGCCTGGGAAAAGATTTTATGAATAAGACCCCCTTGGCCATTGCAGCAATGCCAGAAATAAATAAATGGGACATGATCAAGCTAAAAAGCTTCTGCACGGCTAAGGGCATCACAACTAAAGCAAACAGGTGGTCTTCAGAATGGCAGAAGATATTTGCATGCTATGAATCTGACAAAGGGCTGATAACTAGAATCTACAGAGAACTCAAATCAACAAGAAAAGAGCAAACAACCCCATTTATAAGTGGGCAAGAGACTTGAACAGAAACTTTTCTGAAGATTGCCAATAAATGAAATGGCCAAAAAACACATGAAAAAAATGCTCATCATCCCTAATCATCACAGAAGTGCAAATGAAAACCACCCTGAGTGCAAATATTCTCGCTGTTCTGATTTTATAATAATCAGCACAGGCTAAACATTTGCTATATAAAAACCAGGTGTGTGTCCCCAGACCTAGTTCTTTTCCTAGGTTTGGTTTTATAAATGCTGTTGATAAACAAAAAACAAACAAACAAAATAAAGACCAACATGAGGAAGAGGAAGATTTGCTCTCTACTAAAAACAGAAAAATTAGACCTGTGGTGTGGTTGGCCCCAGTGTTGCCATCCATTTGGGAGGCTGATACAGAAGGTAAGCTGATGCCACAGCACCCTATCCTGGGCAGTGGGGAGGGAGATTCTGTCTCCAAAAAGAAGTGTGAGAAATGCCATCTAGTTAAATTTCCTAAAATATTTTAAAAAATAGACTCTAGATTATTTTGCGAAAATGTTTATTATAAATACGATAAAGGAATTTTACAAAAAAATTTTTACAAAATTAGGGAAAGAATTTTCAGCTTATAATATGAAGCAATACACCATGGTTTATTTCTGAGTTTAATGATAAAATTATCAATAATATATTAAAAAAAAAGAAAGAAAACCACCCTGAGATATCACCTAACTCTAGTAAGATTAGCCCACGTCACAATCTCTTAAATCTGCAGATGCTGGCATGGATGTGGATAGAAGGGAACATTTTTTACATTACTGCTGGGATTGCAGACTAATATAACCTCTATAGAAAGAAGTATGGAGAATTCTCAAAGACCTGAAAGTTGACCTTCCATTTGCTCCCTCAATCCCATTACTAGCTATTGATTCAGAAGAAAAAATTCATTTTACCATGGGGATGTTTGCACTAGAATGTTTATTGTAGCTCAATTCACAATTGCCAAGATGTAAAAGCAACTCAAGTGCCAATCAACCCATGAATATATCAACAAACTGTGGTATATGTATACCATGGAATACTATTCAGTCATAAGAAAACATGGAAACCGTACATCTTTTGGGTTTACCTGGATGGAGTTGAAACACATTCTTCTTAGTAAAGTATCGCGAGAATGGAAAAGCAAGTTTCCAATGTACTCAGCACTAATATGAAACAACACACCCACACAAAAGAAAAAACACAAGTATAGTCTAGCAAGAGGGAGGGGAGAGGAGGGAAAGAGGAGGGGAGAGGAAGAAGGGATATTGGCAAGTTCTCACCAAATGTGCACAATTTGAGGGTATTCAACATGCCTCTTGGGTGAAGGGCTCAACTACAACTTGACCTTTACATTGGAATTGAAAACAATGTAACCTAAACATTTGTATCATCATATTAATCTGAAATTTAAAAAAAAGAAAGAAAGAAAAAGTTTGCATAATTGATGGATGAGATTAAAAAGTGATTTAGTTATTGCATTAGTGATGACATGAACATATAGAGTCTAAAGAATCTAATATTCAAATTACTGTGTCAAAAGATGTTAAACAAAGAGTTAACATCTTTTGTTAAACAAGATTTAACATCTTATTAAGATATTTATGCAGATGTATATTCCAAAAGCTTTATTCTCATTCAAAATATAGTTAATAACAATTATATTAACATCTATTACTACATTATATTACTTAAATTATAATTATATAATTAGTAATATGATTATATTGATTATAGAATCATAAAATTATATTTGTTGGTATGTAATAATATATTTTTGATTATATTTTGAATGAGGACAAAATATTTTGCAACATCAATGTATATACTTTTATTTATTTTTGAGATGGAGTCTCACTATGTTGCCCAGACTGGACTTGAACTCCTGAACTTCAGAGATCCTCCTGTCCCATCCTCCCAAGTAGCTGGGATTATGGGTGTGTGCCACTGTGCCCAGCTTAATGTATATAATTTTAAAATACTATACTTTAAAAAATAAAAACATTTATAAATTTTTCAAAAACCTTTTTTTTTGAGACAGAGTCTCACTTTGTCACTCACAGTGGTATCACAGCTCACAGCAACATCAAGCTCTTGGGCTCAAGTGATTCTCTTGCCTCCCAAGTAGCTGGGACTACTGGCCCCCACCACAACGCTTGGCTATTTTTTAAAGACGGGGTTTTGCACTTGCTCAGGCTGGTCTCAAACCTGTGAGCTCAGGCAATCTACCCGCTTCAGCCTCCCAGAGTGCTATGATTACAGGTGTGAGCCAATGTGCTTGGCCTAAAAACTTTTTTATATTCTTCATGTTTACAATTTTTTTTCAATATCAGTACAGCAGTGTATGTATTTCGCTCTAAACATATTGGGGGTATATTCTCAGATGTATTATTAATGGGGTGTTTCTCCAACTGGGTTGAGACCCCTGTCTTATTTTTTTGCATTACAAAATGCAAAACTGCTGTGTTAACCATCATCATCATCTTGAATAACAGTTTCAGAATAATATATGTAATATGATACTATTTTCAGAATAACAGTAAACACACACGTGTAAATAGTCTATCTATGCACAGAAAGGAGACTACCAATGTTTAGTAGCCTGGATCCTGTACTCAGACTGCCTGAGTTGAAATCCTGGCTCTGCTGCTTACTGGCTGTGTAGCCTTTTCATGCCTCAGTTTCTTCATCTGTAGAATAGGGATGATGATGATAATATTACTGTCTCATAAAGTTTTGGGGATGATTAAATGTTAAATATGAAAAGTACTTAGAATATTGCCTAGTATATAGTGTTAGCTGTTGTTTTATCATCATCTAATATAAAACCTGAGATTGGTTAAGATAAACTGGTTTGTGCTCCAAGTGTCTGGTCAGGAGGTAAAGATTGCTATATGTCAGGAGTCAGCCAGCTTGACCCTGGAGAGTGTTGCTGTTCCTGCCCGTTGACCTCAGGCGGCCACTTGCAGCTTCCCCAAATCCACAGGATCCTTCTGATGCTGCACTGGGCCTCCTTCCAGTCGGCTGCTGAATAAACACCCCTCTCATCCACCAAAATGGGGTAATGCTCTTCAGAGAACTGAAGACACAGGTCTGGTTTGATGTGAGAGGGCAGTGAGATAACCCACAGCCTCTGCCTTTGCCATTTGACAAAGTAAAATGATTTCAAGAACCTTAGACATAATTACACCATTGATTTTTCCTCACTTTTAACTACATCCCATTTTCTTTAAAGACTTAAATATTAATCCTTTTTTTGAGTAGTTCTATTTGTATTTCTAAAAGTTAGTATTTTCCTTTTGAAGACATTGGAATATATATTAAAAATACTTTCCAAAAATGAGAAAATGTTTCTACAGAGATTAGAGGTAATGTCAGTTACCTTGTTGCTAGTTTCTAAGTTATCTTGAACCCTGCAAAAAGACAACAGATTTGCATTGAAGGATTTCTGCCTGGTGATACATTTTGTATATTTCCTTCACGAGCCCTCTAAACCCTTTGAGGATTATACAGGTTTAACTCAAGAGTTTTATGAACAAATTTCCAGGCCCTCTCTGTGCATATGTAGACTAATTACACATATGTGCTTATTGTTACTGTGAAAATGCTATCATACTTCATATATTATTCTGAAACTACTTTTTTTCCCCCTCAAAATATGTCAGGAACATTCTTCCATGTCAGAATTCATAGATTTACCAAATTCTTTTGATGGTTGCATCATTATTCCATAACGTGGACACCCTACAACTTATTTACAACTTCATCATGTATGAACTTTGAGGTTACTTTGAGTAACTTTTACCTTTTCTTTTTCTTTTTTATAGGGTTACTTTGGCTTTTATTGGGATCAGTTTGCTGGTTATAGGAACCACACTGGTTGGGCAGCTGCCGGACAGCAGGTGAAACGTTTTCTTCCATCCAGTGTAATAAGTAGGACTGTCCTTTTTCTTAGCTGTGTCCACAAAGAGAATATTTGTTTGATTCTTACATATCGTGTTATATTTCTGGTCTCAGTCCCCTAATTAGCATTCTGCTCACTTTGTCTTCATAGTCTTTGATTTTCTATCATTTATACTGCCATATAAATTGAAATTAGTTGTTTTTCCAAAGGAGAAATGAAAGGAAGAAAGAAAATGAACTGAGAAGCCCAAAGGAAAGAGAGAGTCTTACGTTTGGCAGATTCCTGAGACCAAAAGCAGAGAAGCTTCAGTGTCAGGGATTTATCGTAATAGTGTAGTAGGGTAGGAGCTACTTTCCATTAGAGTTATGTCCCATTCTCCTGGTAAACTTTTGTCATCTAATAATAAATGCTTCCAGGAGACTGTAAGAATTGACCGGTGCTTCTTCCTCAGAATGGAACATAGAATGCTGATGTGAAAGAGCCCGTTAGAGCTGGTATTGTATTGTTTCTTACGAGTGCTCAGAACTACACAAAAAAACATTTTATTTTTTTCCTTTAGTTTCAAAAACTGGCTGAGTGAACTGGTCCATCTGACTTGCTGCCGAATCTGTGTGCGAGCCCTCTCTGGCACCATTCATTATCACAACAAGTGAGTGTCTGCTGGCCCCTGGCCTGCCTTTCTCTAGGTAAATCCAGCTTGAGGTTGACAGGAGAGCTTGGGAAGTGAGTAGGAGGAAGTAGGTGGAGCCAGAGTATTTCCAGGGTTCATCCCTGCTTCTGAGGGTGTCACGTAAGGCACAGAAATACTTACTGGACAGTGGTCTGTTTGCAAAAGGAAGGTAGTAATAAGCATATGGTTGTGTTTAGTGAGTCTACGGTGTACAGGCCAGACCATGGGCTTCTGATAGGTCACCTTTCTGTGAAAGACACTGTTATCCCACTTTACAGGGAGGAAATGGAGCTCTGGGATTAGTTGTTAAGGTTACTCAGTGAATACATAGCCCTGTTAGGTTTTGAGCTGGGTCTGTCTGATGTAAAAAAAATAACGATGCTGACGGGCCTTGTAGCAGGTGAAAGGAAGACTGGACTTGGAGTCTGTAGCCTGGTTTCTGGTCTCAGTGCTGCTGCTTCTGAAATCCACATCTGAGCCTTAAAACAAAACTCTGCTCTTCTCATAACTAGTCGTGGAGGTGACTTACCATCTCTAGCCAAAGAAAGTTATTAGCTA